AACTGTATGCATATTTATCATCCAGCAGATTTTGTCATATTTCCAGGAGACCTGTAATACATCTAAGAAAGAACCAACATGCATGATTGCTTTTTGTGACAAAGACACATGTTCTTCAATGATTGTATCACAGAAAGAATTCTAGGAGTCACTGGAAGCTCAAGACTGCCATGATATATGTGATCTTTAGTGTATGGAAACTTTTGTTCATGAATGTAGTTGTTCCTTCCTTTATGCTCCCTAACATCAGTCTAACTTCAGTCTTCTGTCTCTGTCCAGATGTGACTGATGGTTCCACCTGCAGGAGGCAGACGTTGTTTGGTGTGGTGACAGTGATTGATCTCCTCAACTACATCACCACACACGAGGATCGCTTGTCACCTGAATGCTCGCCGTCAAGCAGCGAATCTCTGTGACTGTTTTTTACCAAGAGGCAGCACATGATCACCTGCAGTCCACTCTAAGTCCCAAAATCAATTTTAAATGATAATCTATTTTTTTTTAAATCATTGTTTGTTTATCAGCAAAACAAAATACACATTAATAGCCTAAGTTGTTACATTTAACTTCTAATTCACTTATTTACAGCTGAAATGAAATGAAATGAAAAATACTTTATTTATCCCAGAAGGGAAATTCAATAATGATATATAAATAATAAATAAATAAATGATTCACCTTTTGAAAAATGTCAATCTCCAGCAGGGACTGATGGGACTGAGAGACAAGCAAACCATTTGTTGTTGTTGTTTTACGAGATGTACGACAGTAAGAACACAATAGAAACACATCAGCCTTAGTTATTACAGAGATAATCTATCCAGCATCGATCTATGACATTTAATAATCATGACTGATAACTAAGTGTTAAACACTGTATTTACTTTGTAGCTCTACAGACTGAAGGAGTGAATAATGTCTTAAAATGAAGCTCCTCTTACTGATTCTCTCTGAATGGACTTTAGCATCAGATATCAGACCTTCTAGAGTTTTCTCAGGTCTTCCTCTGTGACTTTGACCTCTTCCAGGTTAATGCAGCAACTAGTTAGATGTGCATATATGCTTCATACTTACTCTGCACAGTGACAATGAGTGAAGCATCTCTGTGAAAACAGATGGACGGTGCTTGTAAATAGTCTGTTTTTTTTTTTTTTTTTTGATATAGTTAAAGTTCTTCTCTTGGAATTTATAATATATATATATATTCTTAAAACCCCTTATGGAAACGTTAACAGGGTTAAAAAAAAAAAAAAAAAAAGATTTTCACCTGAGGGGGTCTTTAAAAATGTACAAGGCTTTGCTCCCACTAGATTTTAAAATGAAATACACAGACAAGTCTTCTAACTAAAGTATGGTGCCTTACAGCTGTGGCCTTGTCTTGGTTTTCTGTATATTTTTAACAGGTTGCATTTGTTATGTTTTCATGACTGAAACTGAAGTTATTTTAGGTTGTACTTACCTCTGATGATTTCCTGCTGCTCAGTACAGGCGGGTAGATAAAGGCCTCCATCTACTGGCTGAAAATATTAAGTCAGGTAACAACATTTATATTAGGAAGGTTTGGGCTTTATGTTTTGTAAGACACCTTAATCCTCTATAAATTTGTTGCAAAAAAACTGAACTGAAAAGTGTGTTTATTGTGTAAAACGCGTTCATTTCGCCCTATAACTTTGTAAGAGTTTACAGTTGAGCTTCCAACAAATGTGATTTCATTCTGTTGTAGATTAAAGGGGATTTCCACCAGTTTAACACCTCACAGTCTGTTTAGAGCTCTCGAAGACTGAGCTTAAGGTGACATTAGCTGCTACTAGGAACCTGAATCGTTAGCTGTCTGGCAGAGTTGCATTGTTGGTAATGTAGGCATCCAGTTCTGACAATGTGTGGTATAAAATTACAACACCTATGGTTGTGTTGCAGCGATGCTTTGATGTGTTTTCCTTCTGTTTGACAGTTCTATAGGCGTGTTATGTGCACTCAGTATGTGCAGGTGAATAACTGCCTTCACCAGCAGAAAATATCAAACCAGGAAAACCTAATGACTAGAAACAGACAAGAAGGATTTCAAATGACAGGAGTCTCTTGCACACTTTAAACTACCACAATTAAGTTGCATGAAAGATTTATGAACTGATCAGTCACAACTTCAAAACCACCAATAGATTAAGTGAACAACACTGGTAATCTTGCTTCAATACAATGTTCTGCTTATAAACCTTTGACCCCGGCGTTGATGTGGATGTTACTTTGACACCTACCACCCACCTAAACATTGTTGCAGACAAAGCACACCCCTTCATGTCTCTCCCAGTAGGACAATGTGCCACACGAAACTGCAAAAACTACTCAAAACTCTAAGGTGTTGATGTGGCCTCAAAGCTCCCTTGATCCAAATCCGATTGAGCATCTGAGGAATGCTCTGGAACGAGTCCGATCTACTGAAGAGCCAGCGCCAGCACCCGGGTCCCAGACACTACAAGACACAGTCAGAAGCTCTGTGTCCATGTCCAGAGTTCTTTTAGAGCCACAAGAGGGGCCTATGCAATACCAGCTGATCGGTGTATACTATATGTTACTAAATCTGCATGTGCAAGTAGACATGTCTTAAAACACACTCAACAAGAGATAATTTGGAGTCGCCCCTGTTCCATTTTAAGATGTGTTGCTTCTTCACCCTGCAGAGTCTGACACAAAAAAAACTGTTTTCACATTCATCTGTGCTGAATGCGGAAAAGTCTCAGTTTTTATCTTAAATCTGACTTTAAGCTCTGTGCATGAAAGGCATCACAACGAATCTGAAACTGGCGCTGGTTTAATGTGCAGCTTACATGGTGTGACATGGACACTGAGAATGGACTTTTCAGTGAAGTAGTTTGCAGCCATGAAGTTACCTTTAATATAAACAATATATTTATAGATGATGGATTTCTCAACCAGCAAAACGCAGTTAATATTATAACAAGTGAGAACTCTTGCTCACTAAGTCCTTGACTGTGCATGAGGTGTGTGTAATACATCACCAGACCAGAGGGAGGCAGAAACGACACACTGCAGGAACACATTCAGTCCTGTGTGTGGTACATTGTGACCTGTCAGTTGACTGAGTTCACAGCTTCAGGCTCCTTCAAGCTGCCGTCAGTCAGTGACGTTGTGTGTTTTCATACACAACTCAACGCCCTGCCTAGGTTTTAATGCTGCGCTTCATAGCAGGGAGAAAAGAAATAGATTCAAGAGGCAAAACCCTTAAAATATTCCCCACATTGACACATTTTGATTAATACAAATACAGAATGTGTAACTACATCCACGCATATTTTTGCACAAGTGTTACAGTTGTATTTATGTATTTATTTTAAAATTAAATTGTAAATTGTACAAATGGAAATCTTTGTATTGTACTCTTTTTTCCTGTTTGCTTTTTATTTATTTATTTTTATATATTATTATACAATCATTTATTTTGTGCGCTTGCTACTATGATAAAACAATTTCCCTTGTGGGTCATTAAAGTTTATCTAAGTCTAAGTCTAAATGATGTTTTGTTTATATTGAATTTCCCTTCTGGGATAAATAAAGTATTTTTCATTCATTTCATTTAATTAACAATCAGGATGCAGAGAATGACAAGAAAAAACATAAATATGACTTCATCATACAATCTGACTGGTATTGATTTAAATATGTTATGACTAAGTTTAACTACATGATCAGATGATTTAATATTTTGTGTTTCTTTTTGCTACCTTACTGATTTTAAAACAGTTTTTGAAGATTGTATGAAACTTCTTACTTCAAAACTTGTGAGTTAAACTTAACGTGAAGCTTCTTGACTGCATGACTGGATTACTGAACTGGAGAAACTGGGGCCCAAAGGAACGTGTTGGCTGATGGATTTTCCTGATAGAAAATAAATTAACTGAAAACCAAGAGACAAAACAACCATAAAGGGATTCAAATTGACCAGAAAAAGACCATATTGAGAAAAAAAAACATGCACAATTAAGATAAATAGATGCAAACCCCAAGGCAAACGGCGGGAAAATGACTACAAGGAGACACAAAAAGACCAATTCTAGATGCAAAATTAACACAAAGAGCCACAAAATGACGATAAAAAGATGCAAACCAACTGCAAAAGAGGCAAACAACTATAAAAAGATACCAAATGATCATAAAGAGAGTCAAAATGGCTGCAAAGAGACACAAAATGACCAGAAAGAGACAGAGCGGATTCAGAAGGGATGCAAAATGAACACAAATAGATGCAAAACTGAGGCTAACAGAGAAAGAAAACGACCCAAAGGACCACTGTTTGACGCAGAATGACCACAATGAGCAAGAGAATGACTTTGCAACACATTCGTCCCTTTGGGAAAAAGGTATTTAAAACTGAGAGTTCATTGCTTTACAGTGCTGGATGATTCCTCTGTGCCTCATAACTTCTCCCAGCCTCCTGTCTCAGCATCAAATTAGAGAAACATTATCCTCCAAAAATTGCTTCATGAGGGCTCAGAGACAATTTTTGACTCGTTTTCAAGAATGCGTCGCATCGTTTCGAATAACAGCTCCAGTGTCACTGAATATTGACTTCACATGGAGGTGACACTCGCTGGAAACTGTAACCATCAACTTCATTATTAAACAGGGCGGCTCGACGGGGGCAAACTCATCGTCATAGCACGACCAGCATAACAGCAGATGGAAAGGCACACAGACATCACATCACACTGTGCCCCACCGATGTCCTCTGCACATCGCAGCCTCGTCCGATCTGTCATCATCAGCGGGCAGAGATGATGTCCCAGGATGACACTGGTCTCTGTCAGTCTTCAGCAGCCGATTGTACTCATGACATGTAGATTTTCAGAAACTTGGTGGATGTTATTAGATAGCCATTGGAGGGAAATGCTCAAGAAAAGCCTTCTGAAGCAGCAATAATTAATATTTGAGGTGAGAAATAGATAGCTGGCAGAGGAAATGGGTTACACAGGATAAACATGCTCTTGATTTCAATAGATTTGCAGATATTTTAGTGTCTTTCAGCTGCAGTGTCATGGTTTTATTAGCACTTCCAGCTTTAATCAAAAAGATCAAAATCTTGCTGCAGCAGCCATGAAAGTTTTGCTTCTATCATCTGCCAGAACAGATTTGAGTCAACTCATGATACTGAGTAAAGACTTAGACTGACTTTATTAAATCCAGAGGGAAATGCAGTTGTTACAGCGGCATGAATATTCAACAAAGAGGATAAACAACCCCCACAAAAAACAACACAGAATACTAGGGTGGAAAATGAAAGTAAAATAAAATAAGATAAAAATATAGAAAGATTGTAAAGAATACAGAAAGCCTTTATGGCCAAGTGAGCTCACACACACAAGGAACTTAACGTGGTAAATGAAACTGTGTTACACAACAA